TGTGTGTGTGTGTGTGTGTGTGTGTGTGTGTGTGTGTGTGTGTGTGTTTTCCCTCTTGAACTGGGCGGTTATCCAGGTTTAAATGCTTCCAGCTCCTATCTTTACTTCCCCAGACTTACTGTCTAGCCAGTTAATTTCCCATTTTGTGCAACTACAAAGTCTCTCTGCGTGGAGTTCTCTGCAGGTCAATTTTCCACTGGAGTGTGGTGAGCTGCACTGTTATTTATTCAGCTCCATGCAGCTGGATCAACATATTGTCAAGAAAGCTGAAGCGTGTGGGGAGCTAGCCTGTTTATGGCCTGCAACCTGGCATTACCGTCAAGGGCCCCTTGGATCTTGCTTTCTAGCCGAGCCAGGGGCTCTCTGCGGCGCCCCCCCTCCCCCGGCGTGTACCTCGCCCTCACCCCCCTCTCTTGCAGGTGCACGAGAACGGCCTGAGCTGTGGCGAACAGCTGAATAGGTGCATTCGCTGGGCCGATGCCGTGGTGATCGTGTTCTCTGTCACCGACTACAAGAGCTATGAACTCATTGGCCAGCTCCACCAGCACGTCCAGCAGCTGCACCTGGGCAGCCGGCTACCGGTGGTGGTCGTGGCCAACAAAGCCGACCTGCTGCACATCAAGCAGGTGGACCCCCAGCTGGGACTGCAGCTGGCCAGCATGCTGGGCTGCTCGTTCTACGAAGTGTCCGTCAGCGAGAACTACAACGATGTCTATAACGCCTTCCACGTCCTGTGCAAGGAAGTGAGTCACAAACAGCCCAGCAGCACGCCGGAGAAGCGCAGGACCTCCCTCATCCCCCGGCCCAAGTCCCCCAACATGCAGGACCTGAAGAGGAGGTTCAAGCAAGCCCTTTCGGCCAAAGTGAGGACTGTCACCTCCGTCTGAAGCAGAGACGTCCACGGGGCGGGGTGGGGGGGGTTTGGTCTTCCCAGGAACGGGGCCCGAGGATCTTCTAGTGCAGGATCGTTGAATGCTGGCAGGAGTTCCTGGTTCCAGAAAGGGCCGGAGCCGAGGGGCCAGGAGGGCCTGGGGAACTGCTGCAGAAAAGTCCGCGTTCTGAGCAGGGGGACAGAACTGCTGAGGCTGGGGAGGGAGCCTACTGAGCCGCTCTGGACACGCGACCTGGACTCAGTGTCTTTTCCTTTGCCGTGGAGAGGGCGGCAGAATCCCTTTGGAGTTTGCCCCTTACCTTGTAAATGACCCTCAGCTGTAGTTTCAGCAACGGGGTGGGTGTGCTTGACAGCGGGAGTGAAGAGCAGATTAAGCACTGTCCCCTTTTTTCTCTTTCTTCCCTTTCCCTCCTCTCCCGCCAAGAGGAAGAACTGCTTTTTCTCTCACACGACTGATTTGCATCTCTGGAACACTAGCCCTGACAGAATGCCTTTCTAACCTGAAGGATACCCCCGATTTCTTCTTTAAGGAGCAAGGAGGAAATTACTCTCCCCCCAGCCCCCCAGTAAAGGGTGGGGTTTATGGGCCAGATGTGATGTGGGTGGATGGACATCTGTAAGCTTACAGTGCCTGCAGGAAGGCACTGCTTCCTCCTGACCCAGGACGGGTGTGCTTGGTCGAGTATGTGTTGAAGGGTTGACAACTCAAACTCTTCAGCCCCGGACTTTGAGTAATTGTGAGACTGTATCATTTTTTTTTAACTCTTGCATCAGGTACAGAAAAAAAAAAAAAGATGTGTTCATTGACTTTGGTATGATTTGTGTAAGTGGCTCACAGCAATGACGTCGGGTCGTTTCCTAGGCCTGGCCGAGTCGTGGCTTAAATACGGAAACACGGTCTTAACGGCGAGCGAACAGATAGAGGGGCCGCCGCCGAATCCCCGACACAGATGCACTTTAAAAAGCCACTCATTCTTTGGCTTAAATTGTAATTTATTTTACGTACAATAAATCTCATTTGAAAAGAGCAGATGCCTGACTTGGTCTTTATTGAAATGTTCACATTCTGTCCTTTCACACAAAGCGTTCGTCGGTGTCCTGTACTTCTTGGTCGCTTGACGTCAGGTGCTGTGCCTTCCTGCAGGCACTATAAGCTTACAGATGTCCATCCACCATATAGTTCTGGAATCCACCATATTTTCTTCTCACCAATTTAGCTTCATGTGTTATTACCTTTGCTCATCTCTTTCATTATTAGTATTTCTTAATCCCCGGGTGTTTGTTTTAAAATTTCTGGGGTCACCTCATAAGTCCCAAAGCAAACCGATGAGATGCGTACTCTTGTCGCCCTTTCACAGATGAGGAGACAGGTTTACAAACAAGCCAACTCACTTGTCAAAGAACCACCCCCCGCCCCCCAGCCTGTGAACGCTGTGGATTGTAATTTGCAGCTTTATATTCAAGAGTAGTGCATCTCCTGTCCATTCTCTTTAGGATCCTCCAGGTAACACCAGGACAAATGTGTGGCTCTCGGTTTTCTGCTGTTAAGACATCTCTCAGCTGAGCCTTGAAGATAATGCTTCTGTCCAGGGTTGCTGCTTCTCTCTAAACACGTGGTTTGTTTGGCACACCTCTTCTTTGGGTGTACTGCTTTCAAAAAGTGCGCTCTATTCTCACTGCAGAAGCTGGGAGCTGTTGAGCGGGGGCCGTTCAGGAGCCCCTCCCATGTAGCTGCTACCCCAAATGTGTGTTCAAAGTGCCAGGCCCCCCGCATCTGCTTCTAGCTGGGCCCGAGAGACCTTTCAAGCAAGCCACGTGAGTCCCCGTGGTCATGGGCAAAGAACGGCACCTTAGAGTCAGGCTTTCACGTACTCGATCTCCTTTAGTCCTATTACAGGGAGGAGGGGAGGGGAGGAAAGCCTGCCATTTACAGGTGAGGAAAACAGGCTCTGAGTTTGGAGTGATGTCCTCAAGTTCACACAAAGGACAGGAGTCAATGTCTTCTGACTGCGATGTTCTTATTTCTTTATAATGTTCGGATACGGGGCACCACTCGCTGCATGTGTGGGGCCATGGGACCAAGGGCGGCAGTCCAGATGACCGGCTGTTGACGGCCCGCTGTGGGATGGTGCCAGACTTCCAAATCTGTTTTCCCACAGGGTAAATATCCTGCCTGTTCTTGACAGGGCTTTTGGTGATGTCCCAGACCTTCCTTATATGGACGGCAGTTTTCTACGCTTATGCCTAACCTAACCGCTGAGAAGGGCATGTGCGTGCGCGCGCATGTGTGTGTGTGTGTGTGTGTGTGTGTGTGTGTGTGTGTGTGTTTGGGGCAGGGAGGGAAATGGCATTCACATGAGATTCTAAAAATATCTCAGTTCAAAGGCACTAGCTAGTTTCTCCAACTACTTTATGCTTGTTTTTAGTTTTTTTTCTTTTTTTTTTATTTGTCAGAGAGAGAGAGCACAGCAGGGGAAGGGGCAGGCAGAGGGAGAAGCAGGCTCCCCGCTGAGCAGGGAGCCCGACTTGGGGCTCGATCCCAGGACCCTGGGATCATGACCTGAGCCGAAGACAGACACTTAACCAACTGAGCCACCCAGGTGCCCCTGCTTGTTTTTAGTTTTATTCATTCTACGTGGTTATATAAACAATGTCCAGTGACTAAGAGGTTAAATTTTATGTACTTAACAGTGGCCTTCTACCCATGTTCTGGAATTAAAGAAGACGCAGAGTTTTCCTGGGAGGAGGGCTTTATCTCGGAAAGGTGCTGAGCAGTGCTGTACCTCCATTAATGAGTGACACACTCTTTCCTTCCCCGCTCCAGTCCGGCTGTTCTCCAAGCCTGCAGACCCCTGGGCAGGCCTCCCCTCCTCCCTTGTGAGCCTCACTTCCTCACCTCCTGGTACTTCATGGTTGGCCCTCCCTTTCCCACTGTGCTGCATCTCTCCTACTTCACCTCGGAAGTTTGTGGGTAGGGGGTTTCAGAGCTCTTGTCCACCCAGCGGAATAAAGTGTGTGTGTGTGTGTGTGTGTGTGTGTGTGAGAGAGAGAGAGAGAGACAGACAGACAGACAGACAGACCCTGCTGGAAACCCCCCAGGCCCTAGTTCTGTCCAGTGTCTCAGGTTAACTTAAATATTTATAGTTCTGGAATCCACCATATTTTCTTCTCACCAATTTAGCTTCATGTGTTATTACCTTTGCTCATCTCTTTCATTATTAGTATTTCTTAATCCCCGGGTGTTTGTTTTAAAATTTCTGAACTGCAACCATATGGTGCAGAGAAACTGCCTTCTCCCGCCTAGGTAGGGGAGTGCCTCCTTTGCCACCAGGGGAGGGCACGGGAGGGGTGACGAGGGTGGTGGAGAAAGGATAGGAATTAGAATCCACTGAGCATTTATAATGTGCCAGATTATGAATGATCTCCTTTAATCTTTTGAAGAATCCTATGAGGAAGGTAATACTACCACTCCGATTTTAAAGATGAGAAAACTGAGGCTCAGACCACATCACCTGTTTCCATTTGTTGAAACCTGTGTCGGACCGCACGGGGTATTTGAAATAATTATGTTCTCCACACCAACCCTGCAGTCCATTTTTAGTTCTTTCTACAGACAGGGGAGGGAGGCTCCAAAGAATTAGGGAGCTGATCCACCTCCTAAGAGGCAGATTCAGGACTCCCCTCCTCCCCCCAAGCCCAGGCCTGTCTGAAGCCACAGCATGGTCCCCGGGCAGCCAGCCGCAGCTTCCCAGCTCCCCTCCTCCAAGCAAAGCGCCCCTGGGTGCTCTTCTCTTGTCTTGCAGACGCTGGTCCTCCCGGGCCTGGCCCCTGCGCCCTGGCCCCCTTCCTCCAAACCCCCACCCCCCCTTGGCTCCTCCCTGGCCACAGGCCGCCTGGTCGGTGCATCTGCTGTTGCCATCAACCTTGCTCACAGGCCTCCAGCCCCAGCTCGGTAATAAAGACGCAGGCAGGGGCGGGGGGCCAGCACCGCCCACAGCCCGTCGGCCTGACGACCGGATCCGTGTCTGTCTCGGTGTCTGGCTTTCGAGTTTCCTCTCTGCTGCAAATCAAAACCATTCGGAGCACTCTGCAGCCTGCCTGGCCGAGGCGCAGTGAGCAGGGGTGGGGGCACCTTCCCACCGAGGCTCCTGCCAGCCCCAGCCCGCTTGGAAGCTGGGTGTGTGCACAGTGCGCCCCTGGTTCCGGAGACACAGGAGATGTCGACATTCGCTTTACACGCCAAGAGGGAGAGAACAAATGTGTTTTGCGAATAAGCTTGTGGGCAAATCCCTCACAGATGAGCAGTGGGGTAACTCCAGGTCCTGCCTCTGCAGGGGTGGGGGTGGGGTATGGGGGCTACCCTGCAGAGTCTCTGCCTGTAAGTCAACACAGGGCCCTCAGGGGATGGGCCAGAAGGAATTATAGGGCTTTATTTATGACAATAAACACACCAGGAAAACTCATGTTTTCTGTACTCCCTTTAGGGTCTAAAGAGAGAAGTTTCCAGAAAGTTCTCACTATCCTCATTACTTGACTAATTTGGTGTGGAGAGAACGAGATTAGTGTTATTACTGATTGTGGTGAGATCCCAGCCACCCCACCTCCCTTCTCCAATGCCCTCCATCATCTGGTTTTGTCTTTTAAAATCCCCTTAAAAGAGAGATGGAGTTTCTTAGTGTTTCCTTAGCAGGGATGGCGGACAACATTCATAATATTGGATTATTTGTTGTTGAGATTCGGTTTCTGGTGACCAGGGTAAAATAAATAATAGTGGTCTTGAGGGGAGCCTGATGGAATTCTTTGTTGTTGGGATGACACTGTTAACGGTCCGCGCCCTGGTGTAAACAGAGCCATTTCCATCGCCCTGGCCCTCTGGGGACAACCCTCGGCTGACGCAGCTCCTGAGCACCTCCAAACACTTCGCTGTGCCCGCTATGTTTGCCGGGAAGTGGACTCCAGAAGGAGGGTTTACAAAGGCAGAAGTCAATTGCTGCCCAGTATTTACACCTCTATCAATTGTGTTTATAAAGAGTGGCCTGCGAGGCCCTTGGCAGAGGGTTTGCATTTGTGTGTGCGTGTTTTGGCTCCGGACAGCCAGAGTTCAGGTGGTAAACACTCAGAGCCAGGCCCAAGCGATGGAACCAGCACTCCCACTCAGCTCAGCCTTTCAAGCCACCTCCACGCAGCCGGAATCCCTCCAGAATTGGTCCACTGGCATGTGGTGGAAATGGGCGTCAGTCTCAGGAGGCCCATTGCAGAACCACACAGACGGCTTTGCAGTTAGCCTTAGTGGTGGAGAAATTTCTCAAAGAGACCTAAGGCCCCGTGTGAGCCCTCGTCAGACAGTTACTGTCGATCACGGTGATTCTGATATACCCTTGGCTAGCTTGCCTTGTGCCGTGTTCTAAGGGCTTTCCGCGGATTTATCATTTTCATTCTCTCAGCGGCCCGCTGAGGCAGGCCCTATGATTGTCCAATTTTGTAGTCAACTGCGACCAGAAGTGAGCTGCAGGGCGGAGGAGCGGGGCTTGGAACCCGCAGCCACTGGCTGGGGCTCTGGGCACCGCTGCGGGCCTCTGGGCTGCCCCATCCGGGAAGTCTGCGGGACCGAGGTGTTACTCCTTCTCTGCGGACCCTGGAAATGCCTCTAATGTTCTCTTCATCTGACATTATTCTCCTGTTGAGACCTGATCGTTTTGCGAGGTGACTTGCTCGGCGTCCTGGCTAGTCAAAGCCCCTGGCCCTTGGCGTCACGCGCTAGCACTGTCAGGGATGGCGGCCCTCTACGGCCACCTCTCTCACGAGCTAGGTACCTTGCGGGCGTTGCTGTATTTTCCACATGGAGGCACTGAGGCTTGACGAGACCCACGCTGCGGTCTGGAGCACTGTTCACACCTTCGAAGGAGGTCAAGAGCATGATCCGTTTCTCCCTCATCCTCTCCTGGGCAGCGAGCACAAGAAGGAGGCAACACCAGAGAGGGTTTAGGAGGCTGCGTCAAGGGTTCACCATGCCACTTCCCGAGTCCCTTCTTTTTCCTTATCTGATGAAGGCCCTTTGTAGGATTTATACCAAGTTTCCATTATGCTCCTGCTTTTAATTCAAGGAGTAGTGCTCTGTCCTGTGTCTCCTACCTTCTTACTCAAAGCAAACTCCAGTCACCGTGAAGCTTCTCTTTTGTCCAAAGCCTTCCGCTACCTGATTGCCTGCCTAGCTCAGTGCCTCCTGCCGGCGACCATGGAGATGGAAGACGGTTATAAGCCTAACGTGTGACATTTCCTCCCGCCACACAGACATTTCCTCCTACCACACTGCCTTTGGGGGCCCAGTAACTGCTAGATGACCCATTTACAATCAGGGACTTCCTTCTTGTGTAATTCCAGATTAGAAGCTTTGAAAAGACAAAATTAACTTGCAAAATACAGAAAGCCACACAAGTAATACACAAGCACAGGTTTGCTGTGGAGAACATTCAAACAACACAGAAGTCTGTCAAGAGCAAGACTCCCCTTTTTCTGAGCCCTCCCACCTACACTCCTTCCCAGAGGTCACTACTTATTAGCAGTTTGGTTTTTAAATTTCCAGAGAGTTTCCTTTGCATACAGACGTATGGCGTAGGACTTTACCTTGAGCAGGTACTCACACGGAGCCAGAGCACCAGGAGAAGCCCCAGCTGCTCAGTCTGCGAGAGCCCCAGAGTCAGGGGCGCGTCTGGCTCCCTCACCAGGGTGACCAGAACCTCACAGAGTGCCCGGAACATGCCACTCAGTATGTGGAAATGAATGAATGCACATTGACACACGTAACATGTTATTATTATTATTTTTTCTAATTTTAAAAAAGAGTGATCTCTGCTTTAATTAGCATTTCTTTCGGGCTATCGCCATTTTTCTCCCTTACTCAGATTCGAAATTCTAGATAAGGGGAATGAAAGAAGCATGTGGGCTCTCTAGTATCAGCAGCACTGGTAGTAGGTAGACAACATACTTGGACCAAAAAAAAAAGAACACTGGTGTCTATAAAACTTGCTTTGCATCTCAGAATGATTTCCAACTTCACGGTTTTTTCATAAAATAACATTTTACAGGGAACTAAAATCCGAGACACGAGTGTTTTGATTTACATTTTACTTCGCCCACCTGTTTAATCCACTCTAGAACTGTTTTTCAGCTTTCTCTCTTCATTACACACATCTTTTAGAGATGCTAGAAATTTCCATGAACCATACACCTACAAATGTGTGGGTTCCAAGCAGTTCATTTTTGCCAGAGTTCTTAAATAATTTCCCTAGTTGGGTCTGGGTTTTTCTGCCATGACCAGAAGTGAGACAAACTGAAAAGAGAGCTTTCTATTTCAATAGAAACACTAATTCATAAAAGTCCCAGGGGTTGGGGTTCCCATCTAGGCTCCCTGGACCAGAAACCTTTATGGGGGCCTTCCTTTGGGAGGGGAGGAAAGCTTTTATGGGCAGAGCCAGCCCTCCAATCAACCTCTGTCCCACTACTGTTGCAAGTAGACTGGGGACCCTGCCCAGTGGGCTCGCGGGGACAATGCCGCCCTTTGTAATGACAAGCCAAGTTATGTGGCCGGTGGGCTACTAGCACGGCTCTAGCTGCTAACCCCTCCGTTCCTTGCCTTTTCAGCAAGCGCTCAGATCCAATTTGCAATGTACCCTCCCCAGTTACATAATCTTAAGGAAAATCAAACTTTCTTCACACTCATAATACTAAAGCATGTCTAATTTCTTGAGCAACTGCAGATCAAATAGCTTGTAAGCTACCAACACTTGCCAACAGGTGTTTATGTAGAATTCAGGAGCTTGCAGTTGGAATCAGGAAGATCACAAGCAGAGAAATGGGAATTATGTCGAATGAAGCCAGCTGAAAGACACCTTTAGAAAAATGAATTTTTTTTTTTTTTTTAAGACTCGCTGGCAGTCCAAGCAAAGCACTTTGCTACATGGTTTGCTCTTCGCACTTTGCTCAAGACCTTTGGGGCAGAATTCTGTCCTCCCCACAATTAGCAAGAGGACACTGGGTTTGGAGGCATATCTTGAATGGTGGCAGGCAACAGGATGGGTGTTTCCACCTCGGGCAGGTCTCCTCTTAGCAGCCGCTCAGAAGCCAAGGTCTGGATGCAGCCGGTCAGTGGCAAATAACAGCTCAGGAATGTTAAGTGGCTTCAGGAGTCGCGTGGACAGCACGATGACCTGCCAGCAGGAGGGGACAAACACACCGCAGACAATTAGGAAAGCCAACCCCAGGTTATGGGAGGACGAGAAATAAAACGCAATGTGTTTCTCTGGGGGAAGTCACGGAGTGGGGCACTGTGGAGAAAAGGCAGAACGTGGCAGCTTGGACGCCACCGGATGCTAGGGTCCTGGGTGGAAGGAGGGGTGCACAGGCGGGGAAGGATGGCCCGTGGGATAGCGGGGCTCTGTTTCCTGAAGCGTTAACCAGTTGGCACCGAGAATGGCCGAGCCCAGCCACCACCTGGCTGCTGAACTGAATCCGATCATACTGTAGCTTTGGGATCCAGTAATTTGACCTCAATAGAGAGAAGGTTTCTCTCTTCTCCAGGGAGCCTTTGCTCCTTCGGGGAGCATAAGAAGGCACACCCAAGGAGTGGACGGCATTGTGGGTGATGGTGATGACTGTGTTAATTTCCTAGGACCCAGAGCTGGGGGTTTAAATAACAGAAACTTATTGTCTCATGGTTCTGAATGCCACAAGTCCCAGATCAAGGTGTTGGCATGGTTGTGAGGGAAAATCAGTTCCATGCTTTCCTCTCAGTTTCCTTGTGTCTTCACACTGTCTTCCATCAATGCATGTCTGTCTCTCTGTCCAAATTTCCCCTTTTTATAAGGACACAGTCATATCAGATTAGAGTTCACCCTAAATACCTCATCTTAATTTGATCATCTGCAAAGACCTATCTCCAGTAAGGTCACATTCACAGGTGCTAGGGATTCAGACTTTAGCATCTTTTGGGAGGGGGCACAAGTCAACCTGTAACAATGATGGGATAAGGATGGTATTGGCTAAGGTTTATTGGTTCTTATGATGTGCCAGGCACTGAGCATGTTCTCACTTAAAATCCGGGTAATCTTCATCACAACCTTATAAAATGGGTACATTTATTATTCCTATTTTGTAGATAAGGAGAATAAACTACAGGGCGCCCGGGTGGCTCAGTTGGTTGGGCGACTGCCTTCGGCTCAGGTCATGGTCCTGGAGTCCCGGGATCGAGCCCCGCGTTGGGCTCCCTGCTCGGCGGGGAGTCGGCGTCTCTCTATGACCCTCCCCCCTCTCGTGCTCTCTGTCTCTATCTCATTCTCTCTCTCAAGTAAATAAATAAAATCTTTAAAAAAAATAAACTACAGAAAGTTTAAATAACTTGCCCAGGAACACACAGAGAATCACTGAATGAGGATTCCAACCCAGGCAGGCTGACTCCAGCATCCAAGGGCCTATCTGGTCACTTCGGTCATGTCAAGGGGTCTGGGCAAGGCTGCTTTACTCCCCTAGTCCACGGGGACCTTTAGGCCTCTCTGGCCTGTCACTGTGGTGGACCCTTCCTGCTTCCTTCGGTCTGGACCTTGCCTCTGGGGTAGATTTCTCTTTATAGCACTGAAACAACTTATTCCTTGGGCCTGGGCTGGGTCTGTGATGTGCTGGGTAAGGGCTAAGGGCTGGTGAGGTTTTGCACAGGCGGCCAGGGGAGGAGCTGACTCTGGGAATGGAGAAGGAGGTCCTAGAACTGGAATTCCACAGCCCAGCGCCTGAGCAGAGGCGACCGCAAGGTGAGCAGCAGGACCGGGCTCTACCGGGCCATACAGCCCGGGCATGTGCACGCTGACACTGCACACTTCCTTGTCTCCCCCGACACACTGTTCCAGGTGTTCCCAAGCCAATGATGTAACCAACTCCCAGCTCACTGGTCAGAAACGAGAGTCCCCACTCCAATGTGAAGGAAAGGCAGACGGGGCCCAAGTCGAAGAAGGAAGGAGAGAAGAAAGCATTTTATAATTTTCTCCTTCTTCTTCTCCTTCTTCATCTTCTTCTCCTCCTCCTTCTTCTTGTTAAAGAAGGGAGGGTTATTAAAAAGTTTTCTGTTTCAAGCAAAAATGAGCCCTTGCAAAGAGCTTTTTTACTTTTTCTCAAAAGAGAATGATCTTAAACAATATATGGCTAATGTCAGCCAAGTTATATTTTTGGCAGAAAAAGAAATACTGCAGTCTGTGCTCGCAGTTGTCCTTGAATGCCAGGGGAGGAGAGCTGGAGGGCAGCAAGTGAATATTAGCATGCCCTTATTATTTGCACACATGGTGTAGACAACATATGAACACATGGGTCTGCATAGGGTCTCCCACGCCAAGCCTAGAGGTTGGCTAAGAACAGCGGTGCCTGGGCCGGCACACTTGTGGGAGCCCTGTAGAGCCCAGCTCCACTGCAGGCTGGCTGCGTGCCCCAGGGAAAGCCACTTCCCTTGGAACCTCACTCTGCGTGTCCCAGAAGGCAAACAACAGCCCTGAGCTGGAGGCGCTGTGGCAAGGGTTGCATCAAGTCACGTGCCTAGAGCACAGGAGGTACTCGGCCATTCTGAGCGCCATTTTATTGTGGTTTTGTGACTGGGTCACAAGTCTCCTTTTGAATGTTATAAAAGCTAAGAACTCCCTAGAAAAATATGTGTCTGTTCAACACACACAAGGTTCTGAAGGTAGTTTCAGATGAGGTTTGTGTTCAACTAGGAATCATAGACCATAAGGTAAGAAACCCATATTCAGATATTTTTTAAAACGTGTGCATAGAAACAAAAGTCCTTTGCATACTCTCTAGTAGTTGACTCTCGGGAGGCAGTAGAGACCCCTCTCCTGCCCTGGTGACTTGCCAGTGTTCACCACCACTGCCGGCCCCTGTGCTCCTTCCTGAGTCAAAATGGCAGATTCCTCTCTGGCTGGGGTGAGGGCAAGCATAACGGCTAGTGGGAGCCTCCCAGGATATGTAAGTCTTGTTGGCAGGACTGAGGAACTTGGAGAGAAAAGACTGTAGACTCAGTTGATGTCGACACTTCTACAGCAGTGAAAACCGAGCCAAAAGAATCCATCCCTCAGACGGTGTGCTGGGCTTCCAGCCACGGCTGACAGAGACAGTGGGTTCCATGACCTCCACTGAGCAGGACCCAAAGACCGGACCCCTCATCTCTGAACAGGCAGGTATTTAGCATGAGGGCTGAACCAGAGGGTGCCTGGGACATGCATGTGGAGGGCTGAAAAGAAGCAGATGGAGAAACCAGGGCAGTGTGGAGGGAGCTAGGGGCTCTGAAGAGGCGAGAAAGCTCAGACCAAGGACTCCTGCCAGATGGGGCAGTGGGTAAGAGCACAGACTTAGGAGTTGGACCCTAGCTGGGCCTCACTTTCCTCATCCATAAAGTGGGAATAATGATCTCCACCTAACATGGCTATTTGCAGTCTCACGGGTGGAACTTTGGGGATGCTTCTTTACCCAGAACACGAGTCCCCCTCCTCTTTACCTGAAGACCTCTCGGTCCTTCAACAATTTGCTCAGGCATCACCACCTCCAGGAAGCCTTCCAAGACTACCCCTTCCAAAGCTGAAGTGTGTTCCCATGGCTGTTGGTACCACACTAAATTCCTTGTTGCCTTTCCTGAGTCTTTCTGCTGTTTCCTAGCACAGTGCCCGAAATATAGCAGGTCCTTGATATAGGCAGTCAGTGAATGACAAAATGAGTGAACAGAAACGGTCAGACAAGGAAGGAGGCAGTGAGTTTAGCAATGGTCAGCAGGAAGTTTTTTACCCCGAGAGGCTCTAATAACAGATAGCTCAAATAGCTCTGGGAAAATTATTTCAAATCAGTTCAACTATTTGTCTACATATCCTACTGGGAATCACAAGCCGGGCTAACACTTCATTTACGCTGTTAGATGAGGGGCCTCGAGCATTTTCACATCTTAGGCATCTTTTGGTCTTCAGACTCATCTGAGCATTTTTAGAGGTTTTTAGCCCATTCAACTAAGGCATTTCTGCATTATTTGACTAAAATAGTTCTAAACAGTCTAAAAAATTAGCCAACTGGGGGGACAAAAAAATGGTCAAAAATGAGAAAGAAAATGCTTAAAAGAGCCTGAGACTGGCCTGTTAGATATAAAATGAAGATTTTATAAACAGTCATCAAATGTGTGGTGGTAGGCAAATTCAGCACAAGAGAATTCCTTCTAGAGAACTGGTTTTTGTCCAGGCAGCCGAGGGCACTGATGAAGACTTCCATCTGTGAGCCAGGGGTGGAGGACACCGCAGCTCCCCAGGGCTCCCCCAGGGCTCCCCAGAGCCTCTCTTGTCAGCTGGCCCGGGCTCCTGCAGGAGTGGGTCAGGCTCGGACAGCGGCCCAGCCCTCTTGCTTTCTTCCCGTGTCCGGCTTCTGCAGGCCACCACTATAATTTGCAGGTTCCAGCATCTTGCTGTTCCATTTCTGCCAAACACAGAGGAAGCAGGGCAGTCCAGGATTTAGATTTCGGATCCATCTGATTTCTAACATTTTGAATTGAAAGCAGCAGGGGATAAAAATGGTTTTTCTCCTTTTTTCTTTTAAACTTGCAAGATTCTTCCCAGTAAAAGTAACTATTCACAGGCACCAACACGCATATTCCTCCACTTGATGACCCAGTTTGTGAGCTTATATCATATCCGAGGCACTGCCTACCCTCGCTTGCATGGGCATACACACACATACTCATACATGTGTGTTAAATGTAGAAGGTTTGTATCGTTAGGGCAGTTAGGGTAGTGGATTAATTACAGGGACACGGCCAGGCCTTCTGGGAAACTCACTGTGAACTGTCTGCCTTGCTTGAGATTCCCTGCCTCTCCCTCTGCCCCTCCCCTGCTCACTTGTCTCTTTCTGTCTCAAATAAACAAATACATCTAAAAAAAAAAGAATAAAATAAATCTAGACTGAACAGAGGAAAAAAAGGAAGTCACTGGACTCCTCTCTTGGGCCTTTCAATCAATTTTAGAATAACCTGGAGCCAGGATTTAGGTATCCTGAACCCCTAAAGTTATGCCAAACTGTGTGTGTATGAGCATATTTCTTGGTCTACTTTGTTTTTTCTCTTACATTCTCACTAAATATTCAGCTCCAGAAACATAGAAGTGCTAGAAAATGTGGGTGGGAACATGCATCTGCCTATGAAAAGTGGTGGACGGCAGGGCCAACTTGCCCACATGGTCTTTCTCTGTTTCCTGAGCTGGCTTTTCCCTGTGTCCTCTGGGAGGGTCCCTCCCTGTTATTTTCTTCCCACAATCTCAGGCTTCTGTGGGCCTCTTGGCCCTCATCCAGCCACAGAGTTCAGCCTGCAGAGCCATCTGGGCATGGGGCCCCACAACAGGCAGCAAGTGAGACAGAGGTGGGTGCTGGGCACAAGCACTCCAGAGTGAAGGGAAGCCTACGAAGCTTCCTGCCTCATGGTTGGGCTGCTTGGGGTGGGGTGGGGGGAGCTGCTTCTTCGATCCCTTTTTTTGTAGTTGGGACAGAGGGCCTTCTCCAGCTGCCCACTTTTTCTCATGGGCCCCTTGGCCAACAACCACGGGCAGAGTGGAGGAAACACACCCGTTTTAGAGTATGACAACAGTCCTACAAGACTAGCAGGTGCAGACATATGGTTTCTGGATTCCATGTTTCCTGCTACCTTGTTGCTTTCTGTGGAAGAGAATTCATTCCTGGATGGGCCGTAAGTGGGTTCTATGAGTTTCCTTTGAAGAGCTGGTCCCTGAATGCTTTTCAAATTCTTTTCCTCCATGGGGAAGCTGTGCCGTCTGAAGGAATGCCGCCCTCCACTCATTCCCACCATAGCACCATCTGTGTTCCTGGCACCCTTATCTCTGGTTGGAGTTTTTGAGCTTGACATCAGTCCTTCACTATTAGAATGTAAGTTCCACGAAAGCAGGCACAAGTCTGGCTCGCTCACTACTCTATCCTTAGCAGAAGGACAGTGCTTGGCACAAAGCAGATATTCAACAAATGTTCACTGAATAATCAACGAATCCAATTCAGTAGATGCAATGGTGGGCTCCTGTGCTTGGGTCCCCAAAGCACCCATGTAGATATAGAGAAGATGTGGGTTAATAGGAACTGATACAAAAGTCAGGCTGGTTTTAGTTGTGCATAATCTCAGGAACGAATCAACAGGTTGGTGAATTCTCCAGAAGAGCTACTTTTATCTTGTGCTACAATATAATATAAGTAAAGTTTCTAGTGTTCAGTATTCAACATTCGATGAACAATCATGTCACCCAGCAATCCTGACCCTATTTGTAGGGCTGGGTGGGTCTTTTTTTTTTTTTTTTTCCAATGTATTTTTTTAGAGGTGGGGGAGGGACAGAGGGAGAGAGAGTCTTAAGCAGACTCCAAGCTCAGCACAGAGCCTGACGCGGGGCTTGATCTCACAACCCTGAGATTAGGACCTGAGCAGAAACCAAGAATCAACCGCTTAACCGACCGCACCTCCCTTGTTGGCAGGACTGAGGAACTTGGAGAGAAAAGACTGTAGACTCAGTTGACGTCGACACTTCTAGAGCAGTGAAAACCGAGTGGAAAGAATCCATCCCTCAGACGGTGCGCTGGGCCTTGGCGGCTGTGGTGAGGATGAGGAGGCAGGGGATCCAACTGCCCTGCACCGATCTCATGGTCTCAGCATTGTCCACACCGAGCTATGGCTCTCCGTTCCAGCTGAGTTCGAGAGGGAGAGACAGAGTGGGGCTGAGGACAGCCACCACACCCATCACTCTCAGATACACATCATGGGACTGGAAAGCCTTGGGTTGGAGAAGAGCAGACCCAGGGGAGAACTTGTGGGAGAGGGAGGGGCCTGATTTGCCTGTAAATTCTGTGGGGCCCAGGAGCTGGAACCAGCACTAATGAGCAAGGCTAGAAGGAGGCCGATCCGGATTCGTCTAGGGGAGAGAGATATAACAGTAAGGCCCTCCAAGGCCCGGGTAGGCTGCAGGGGGAGGGGGCGAGTCCTCATGGCCTGAGGTGTTCACGTGTAGGCTGGCTAGTGAAAACACAATACTGGGGTTAGATAACGCATATTACCGCTGTTCACATGGACGGTCACGTCCCAGTTAGCTTGCTGGTTGAGGGTTTGTTGGGCACATAGACTCAGTAGAACCTATGCCTTTCAATTAGTTCACCTGTGTTTTCCAACAGATGTCAAAGTCTGAGTCGGTAATGGCACCGTATGCATGCCATTTCGTGGACAGCTAGAGCAGCCATTTGGTGGACGGCTAGAGCAGCAAGGCCGGCCTTCCGCTGCATGTGTAAAAGCAGGTAGCTGCTCCCGTCCCAGATTTGGGCACAGGTAGCTGTGGACCCAAGGCAGAGTGAGTCTGTTGGGGTCTGAGAAAGGAAGATCTGCCGCCGCAGGTACCACCCCAGCAAACATCCGGGTAACCCACCTCCTTTCAGAAGCTTGGAGATCAAGGTCACCATGATCAATAACTCCTCCGCTGTTCTTCCCTGCTGCCTTTGGGGGCTTTCTGGGGCCTGTTAGCTCTTCGGGGGGAACTTCTTGCACCATGGACACATAGCAATCACGGCTGCTTCTTAAGCCCCGGATTCTCTGAGCAGCTCCCTCTGCAGATGACCGGGCACAGGGTCGGGTTGTCGCGAAGCCGCTGCAGATCCCAGGTCTGTGTTGTCAAACTTGGGTCCCACAGCTTTGAAAACGGCTGCATTGTATCCTTCTAGAGTGGGGGTTAACATGTCTGTCGGGGTGGTACAATGCAGCACTGTTCTGGAGAGCTAAGAATTTGGTTCACCTCATTAAGGACAGCGAGAAGTGTGCTTTCTGATTAAAAAAAAGTCTTGCTCAAAAAGGCAACTGCTTGCTAAACAGATCCTTGACACTGCTGAAAGGGTGTTAGATGAGGCAGAATTGACCACTTGGTCAGAAATTTCACCAGCTAGGACCATGACAGGTGGTAGTAAAAGCAGAAATGGTCACAGCCAATGACTGGTCATTCCCCATTCAAGAACTTTCCGTAGCTGCCTACATACTCAGGTCCGTTCCTCGGCTGGGTGTCTGGAGACCACGGGACCCAGACCTTCTCTGCCTCACGGGGCAATCGAGCTGCTCTGTAGCCAATCAAGCCAGCAGACCAGGCTTCCAGAACTCCTGCCATGTGCTCAGGCCTGGGGAGCCCCAGCCTTTGTCCTAATGGAATCCATGTCTGCTTGAGGAGACGGGGCAGTGAACAGGAGGCAGTGGGCGGGCAGTTCAGGGTTGCACAGCCAAGTGCGGAGTTTGGATTCCAGCAGAGACGTGGAAGGCTGATGACAGGCAGAACTTAGCCTAAGAGGAGACAGAGGCCCCCTGGGCTAAAGCTGAAGATAAGCCCTCAGAGGCAGGTCTCAAATGGGGGTGGGGGGTGAGAGCCAGTGGGAAGATGTGTCAGACTCCCTGTCTCCCAGCAGGACAATCTGGGGGCATGTCGTCTGGGCTCCTCGGGCCCCTAGAGGACAGAGCCTTGGCTGCCTACAACAAAGCACTCTTTTCTGGCTTTTCTCTCTCGACTGTCTGCCTTCTCAGATTCCTGTGCTGCTTCTGCTTCTTGGGATCATCTCCCATGTAAACCACCTGCTCTCATGTCCCTGCCACGTGGCCTGTTTTGGGGAGCCCACTCAGGCAAGGACTTAAAGTCTTATTGAGTTGCCGGCTCTGCGCCCTCAGACAGATTGGAACTTCCAGAGGCAGGGGCTCTCCTTCTCCCGAAGTCCCTCCCCTTTGTCTCCGGCTGCCTCATGTCAGTAGCTAAACCCGCGCCCCCTCCCCCCCCCACCGCCGAGCAGGGTGCTGACCGCCCAGAAACGGCTGATACTAAGGGTGGCCACCATTTATTGAGAGCTATGGGGCAGGCACGGTGCTAGAAGTACATGCTCTTCCCTTACCTGATCCAAGACTCACAGCCACCCTAGCCCTATTGCTTCTGGGAGAAAATGGAAGGCTTTGCTTTCCCAGATCAGCTGGCTAGTAAATGACAGAGGTAAGACTCAAGGACAAACCTATACAATCGAGAGGTGTGTGTTCTTGACCATGGGGCCGCTTCCGAGGGGATGAAGGGGCACTGGCAGGAGGCGACAGAGGAGACAGATACTACATCTGCCATCGTCTTGATGATGCGCCTTGAGTAACAGCTTGTGAGTAGCTAAGAGCTGACTGGACATAGGAGAATATATGCCCTTCAGGGGGACTAGGGACAATAGCAACTTAGCCCCTGAAGCCCAGAGGCAGGCGAGGACTGTAAGGGACAGCTCTCCTCCCTGCGTCCCCAGCAGGAGGACCGCTGACCCAGGAGCAGGTGGAGGGGGAATGTGACAGGGCAGGAGTGGGTGGGAGAAGGAAGGCGGGATGGAGACGGGGGAGGCGCTGGGAAGCCGGATGAAGGACCCCTGGCCATCCTCCCACTGGTGCCTCAGGACCCTCCTTCACTGTTCACAGAGGCCTCAGTACCTGGGTTCCTGGCTGCAGGGACGGCACAAGGTCTTTGATCATCTTGGCTTCTGAGACCGTGACCCCGCCCACCACGAAGAGGATCAGGAGGGGGTGGTCGCTGGGATGAGGCCGGCTCACCTGCAAAACAAACCGCCATGGGCTCAAGCGGCTGGTGTTGGGACAGAATGCCGCGCAGCTGGGCACCTTCTCCCTTGTCCCTCCATGCGGACCCCAGGGCTGCCGCCCCCCTAGTGCAGGTGACATACACAACCCTTAGAGAGACGGTGATTCATCAAGGATCGGATGCGTTAGTGGGTTGTAAACCCACTGACCAGGAAAACCCATACCACGTCACCTTATTGTACCCCTTTGAATATTTTATTGAAGGAAAAGTTAAGGGTTGTGGGGCTATTAAATAGGAAGAGAAGGCTGAGGGGCAACTTATTTATTCCCTCCTTAGCAGCCTTCAGGTCTGAGCATAAACGTGCCCCTTCTTCATTACAGAGCTCTGTTAACTTCCTTCAAAGAGCTTGCCACAGCCTGTGGTTATTGGATTTATTCCTTTGTTTGTTTCCTTATTGGCTGTCTCCTCTTCTAGAACCAGGGATCTGGTTCACTGCTGAATTCTCAGCTTACCTAGTGCCGTTTCTGGTACCTGGCAGGTGCTCAGTAAATTTCTGTGGAATGGATAGATGGTCAGAGCCCTAGGGAGCTGGCGCTGAAGGGGTAAAAAGATGCATGAGCGGGGCACGTGCCCTGGGAGCTTATCGTCTAGCGCAGACTTCACACCCTTACCTTCTGCGAGCCAGCCTTAGCTGGGCACCTACTCTACATGGAATGGCCCACTAGATGTCGTGGAGAATTACCCTGATCCTTATGATTTCACCAATAAGGCAAAGTCTTATATACCAGACTGAGAATAACTCGCAGGACCCCTCAGGAAACGCAAAATGACCCCCACACAGTGACTAACGGATGGGCACAAGAGGGAGTTTCTGAAGACAGTATGTTTTGAGCCCTACCTGGAAGCCAGAGCAGGTTTGGGGAGGAGTGGGTGGGAAAAGTGGTGTGACCCAAGTTCTAGAGGCAAATGGTTACCCGCTGGGTGGAAGAGGGGGGCTGGAGGCGGGGGGGGGGGGCGGTGGCCAGGGCGGAGCAGCATCGCATCGCTGCAGGAAACATGCTGCCGGCCCCCAACATGGCCGCCTCAGCCCAAGGCGGGAGAAACAGGCTTTGAGTCTGCGAAGGGAGGGTCCACAAACGCGGGGAATGTACTCACTCATTCACACTAACTCCGAAACCATCTTCCCGCGCAGACAGCCCCCAGGTCAACATCTTATTTTAAAAACACTTAAAGAGGCAACACATTCAGTGTTTCCAGTTATATAAGTTACTCTTTGGCTTCTGGAGAAGAAACGCAGGATGGAAAAAAAGGAAGGAAGGGAGAGAGGGAGAGAAGGAAAGAGGAGGGAGGGAAGGGAGAATGGGAGAGAGACAGAGAGGTCTAACCTTTTCCAAAACAGGTGGTGGTGACTACTGGAGACTCTGATCTTCAGGAAGAGACTGACTCCTCATCCCCCCACCCCCACCCCAGCTTCTTGCCCTGTAGCTCTCCTTCCCCTGGATTGCAGCTGTTGGCTGCTTTCTTCCAAGCCACGTAATACATACATAGGACAACCCTGCTTGTGGCTCACTATTCCCCTGAAGTCCCCATGGCCATCATATGCAGGAGTCGATGAACACTACTTTGTCTTCGCTTAACGGGTCATTTCTGTGGCATCTGTCACAGTTGATGACACCCTGCCTGGCTACTCTAATAGCACTCTCTGTTGGTTGTTCCTTCTACCTTTTCTGATCGTTTCTTCTCAAATTTCTTCACAGGTTCCTTTTCTTGGTCTGCCCCTTTATATGTCCATGTTACTTCGGGCTCCATCTTTGGCCCCTGGTTCTTCTCACTCGATACATCACTCCCGAAGGGTCTCACCTACTCATTCACCCTCAACAAGCTTTTACATCCTTCCCAAATCTATGTCCTTAGCTTGAACACCTCCACTGAATTCCTGTGGACTTGTCCACCTGGGTGTCTCCCAGGACCCCTAAACTCAACAGGCTCCAAATCTGATGCATGATCTTGCCAAGTCTATTCCTCATGTTGACTTTCTAACAGCTTCACCATCTTCACATGCCCCTGAGCCAGACACCTGACAGTCACCTTGGACTTTGCTCTCTTCCGTTTCCCAGATCAAGCCTCTTAATTGTACCCCCTCACATTTGTGGATCTCTCCATGACTTCCACTGTCCCTATTCCGGTCAGGCTCTCATTCTGTCTTCCTTAGATTACTGCCACAGGCTTCTGGTTTGTCTCCCCATGCCAGTCTGGCTATCCCCCATCTGTCCTCATTCCTGCCTGAGGAAGCTTTCTAAAATGCAAACATTTATTGTTGACTCTAGTGAGCACTCTACTAAACATTTCTGTGCATTATCTTATTCAATCCTCAAAATAGCTTTTGGGGGCAAATACAATCATGGCTGCATTTTGCAGGTGGAGAGTTTTAAGCTTATACCCAGTAACTCAATTGTGGCACAAGGGGCCACGCTCTGACACGCCCCTCAGCTCCATCAGTGCTTGCTCTCTCCACGAGTCTTTGAGGATGAAGTGCGAACTCCTTCTTTCAGCATACAGGGCTCTTTCAGTGTGGCTTTGCTTCATGTCTCTATTTTCATCTTCCACGCACACTGTTTGCTGGAGCCCTTCACAAGAATTTGAGCCATGCCTGACTGCGTGGTATTTGGGTTTTTTTGAACATTTGGGTAAACATATGACGCTTGATTGAACATTTGCACTGAAAATTGCATTTATCACAGTGTTCGGTTTGATTTACTTGCACAAAGTAAACAAAGCCATCAAAACACAGAGAGCTGGCGCCCTGGCGACCCTCTCGCACCCCACTCTTGTCACAACCTCACCAAGGGTAACTCCCACCTTGACTTCTGATACTCAACATCGTACTTTGCTTTTTCCACTTCTCTCTAAGTCCTGGAGATTCTCCACGCTAGTAGGAAAGATCGGTGGCCCACAGGCATTGGTTGGGACCACACCGGTGTGCTTTGGCTTCTGTCCGTGCCCTGGCTCTACAGTTATTCAATAGTTAAGGACCCTCTCTTTCTCTTCTTTACCTCCTTCCCTCTTATTCTCTTTAAAGAGTATCCTCTCCCCTGAAAAATTGTCTCTCCCTGTCTCTCGACTCCTGCCCCGTGACCCGAATCTGACCACACCTCTGCCGTGGCCTTGTCAAATTGGACTGCTGCTTGTCTCCTCTCCTAGAATGCGAGCTACTGGAGGGGAAGGATGGATCATATTTATCTTGGGATTTTGGCATTTTGGGCTTTGAGCACAGACCTTGCTCATGGTAAACTTTCCACAAATGTTGCATGAATAAAATAAATGGACAGATGAATGAAGAAGACCCATAGGCTAACTGGAGATGCTCTTCTTTTCTTAGAGATCTTTTAGAAACTCTTTGCTTCAAGTGTGATTTTTCCTGGCTGAGGAGCTAACCTGAAGTTCCTTCCAGCCCTGCAAATAACTGTTTCTCACTTGATCCTGGAACAGAAATACAACTGGCTCCAGAACTTCAAGTGGGACAGTATGTTCCCAAAGACATATGCTTTCCATTAAGAGAGTCTGGGCTCTGAAGTACGCTGCCGCGAGAATCTTGGAAGGATGTATCGAAAGATGAAAAGGAGACGAACAGTAACAACAAAGAACAATACCCTGGGGCCAAGGAGTTGAGGGAATGTTGGGTTTGGTATACATAAAAGGGTCCCATTAATGCACGTTGCTGTTTGCTATTTTGGTTTCTGTTTAGATTTACATTTTGATACCAGACTTTCCTTCTAGAACATGTCCAGTGGGCAGGTTATTGGGAGGCGGAGTCTTTGAAAGTCTTTTCCATCAGAATAACACGTTCCTTATAATCAGCCCCACACTGCTGCATCCCGGGTGTCTGTGAGTTCCTGGTGTGAGGCACGTGGAGGATGAAAGATGTAAGCATCCTGACTGCCATCGCAAATGCCCAGATTAATAAAGCGAGTCAGACTCACTGCTCTTTCACTTTCCGAGCCTTCGCTGGCTGTGATTTCAGACGTGGGTTCTGGTTAGAGAAGACAGTTTCTCTCCACCATCCATCTACTGGAGCCTTTGAGCCATAGGCTGTGGGAATCTCCTCGGCAGCTGTGGGCCCCGAGGGCTCTCTGACGTCCTGATTGGTTTCAATGAGCGGGGTTTCCTCTGCTTCTGGTTTCTCTGGCACCCTCCAGGAGTCCTGGGAATCCTGCTGCCGATTCTCCTCCGCTCAGTTTCTCTGAATGTGTGACTCCACTGTCCCCAGACCAGGCAAGGGTCAGGCCCCCATTCTCCAACAACGGCAGAGCCTCGGAGAAGGGAGAGAGTGCGACAGGAACTTTGGTCTCAAAGGGCACTCGGCCCTGGGAACAGCAGTGCCGACTCTGAAGATGGTTTGGCAATGGCTTTTCTCCCCATAGAAATTAGTAAGAGCACTGCCACTGCCACCCATCACTGCATGTCGAGCACGGTGCTTTCTACTCAGTTACTCATCCGTTCAACAAATATTTAGTGAGCAACTACTACAGGGCCTGATGCGGCTCTAGGCTTCAGGGATGTCAAGAATGCAGCAGTGAACGGATCAGACCAGACTCCCTGCTGGTGTAGAGTTTCTCTTTCAGTCAGGGAGGATGACAAAGTATGTAAGCAAACATGTATATAAGGATGGAAGGTGGGAAGTGCTCTGGAGGAAAAGAAAGCAGGGGGTGGGGCGAGCAGGACACGACGTGACACGGAGAATCTGTGAAGTGGGTAGAAGCTCTGTTTTATAGCTAGAGACAGGGAAGCTTGGAGGGCTGAGTAACTTGTCCCCAGTCTCCCAGTCAGTGAGCTGGAAGGTGGAGACTGAAATCCAAGTCTATCTCTGCAGAGCTTTCCACACCTCCCCATTTATAAACAGATTCTTCAAACCAAAAGTATTCTTGCTAGCTTTCATCTCTTAAGGCTGAGCTTCTCATTCCTTAGCAGCATCGGTCAATTAGCAGGTTCCTGGTGGAATTTCCTCACTGAATCA